TATGGGCCAATGACTATATAGAAGAGTTCGGTTTTGCATTTGCCTGTATAACAGTGAGAATGTGATCACTTCATTATCTTTTGTGGATAAATACTTTTCATGGCAATTATGTATTCCTCCAGCCTTACAGTATACCATAATTATCTTTTATATACACTTAAGATGAATCCCTCTAAACATGAGATGGGTTTGGAGTGGGAACTAGACAGAAATGGATATTGTAAATGAAAACATTAGTGCCTAAGGCTCTGTAGCAAAGAGGAATCTGGGGCAAAGGCTCAGTATCAGTGAGCTGGCGTGGTGTCATCCTCGTGTTCTGAAAGAAGGTGGTACTTCCTAGAGGTTTCTCATTCTTATGTGTATACCAAATGCTTTTATTCCACACAGCTGTGAACAGCTCTCACTGAATCCAGGGGATGTTACCAACCTACTTTCAGAATGTAGTGAGGATGCCAGAGTGTGGTTTTCTTTACACCCACCACCAAGTGTTGCACTCTAAATCTAAACAAAGATGCTGTTTTGCATTAATCACTTTTTGGAATTTTTTTAATGCATGTATGTATACAGACACAAGGAAGGACAGAGGCCAGAGGACAAGGAAGGACATTCACCTCCTTCAAAACAAGATCTCTCGTTGGCCTCACTTGGTAGACTAAGTGCTACCTGGCAATTTTTATATGGATACTGGGCATGGGGTTCAGGTCCTGCCCTCCTACCCCCTTAAGCATCAGACCACTCATGGATGGGAAAACCAGACCAATGAGGAGTACACTTTGAGGAGTCTTCTTGTTACTTCTGCCCTCTCATTCTTTATTTCTTTACCCCTCACTCTAGCTATAAATCTTCACATCTGTTAATTTTCCAGATATGCTTATTGCATGTATTTATGCATATACAAGTAGATACATGCAATGGTTTTTATCCCATTGCTTCTAAAATCCAAGAGGTGACATGGGGTGTGTGTGTGTGCGCGTGTGCATGTGTGTGTATGATGTATTGAGTATCATGGGAGGATATCACTGTACATGAATGCAGGAAGAAATTTCCAGAATTAGCATTTGGGGGGTCAAGGCTAAATACATCTAAGAGTTGAATACTGTTGTGAATTGTTCTTTGATAGCTGGGATCCCATCACTGCCATATGTAAAGGCCTACTTTTTATGGGTTCCTCCAAAGAGAGACTCAGCAAGCATGTTAACCTGTCAGATTGACCAAAATCTAGAAAACCTGACAATGTAATTTTGATTTGCATTTCTCCTGTTTGAAAATGTGCCCACCTTTTTTTTTAAAAATGATGTTTAAAGACTGTTTTATTTATGCTCTGTAACAGTTATGTCCTTTGACAGTTTTCCTATTCATTGCTCATAAGTTTCTTATGGAAGCTATGCTAGTAGTTGTTTTCATAACAGCAAAATTACCTGAGTTTTTGGTTTTGTTTTGTCTGTGATTTGAGTTGAAAATTGTTTTCCCGGGTTGTTACTTGTTCTTGTCTTTACTTATGCCATATATGTTTTGCACTCGGAACTGTGGTTCCATTTTCAAAACTGTGGTTGAATTACTGAAACTTTAATTTTCCATTTTCTGTGTTCTATCCATGAGTGGAAGGACCATTCCCCATTGTAAGTACACTGTTCTTACTTTCTTCTGCTGCTTGAGAGTTATCACGAAATAATTTTAGGTGTACACGAACTAGAGGAAGTAGTGTAACAACTCCCAGACACCTACCACCCACCTTTAGTCATTTGAATATTACCCACTCATCTATTGCCCAACTCATATTGAGAATATTAATACATAAATCCCAGATATCACATTGTTTTCTTGATAAGTACATCAATATATGTTGATGACATATTAGATTTTTAAAAGAACATACTTTCATAACATTATTATGCCAAGAAGTTTTTTGAAATTTTATAGCATTGGATTCTGTATATAACACAGGGTATGGATCCAGCTTTATTTTTTTCTCCCATTATGCACAATTGAGGTTTTTTTTTTTTTAACTTTCTGTTCTATCCTTCTCGGCTGTCTACTTACAGCATTGTACTCTTTAAATTATTGAAATGTTAGAGAATTTCAAAGATTATTGGGACTACTGTTTAAATGGAGTGATAAGTCTCTACTCAATCCACACTGTATAAAGGTGGCAGAAAGTTTGATTTACGATGCACACTCCTCAGGTTGGTAACTTAGAAACTGACAATGTAAAAGCGGAAGCTGACGTGTGTAAGAGTGTACTCCCCAACAAAAGGACCAGTAAAGCAAAGTATACTGAACAGCTTCTTAAACTGTGGGTCACAACAGTAGGGTCACTCTGGCAAGAGTGAGTGGCAGATTTTGAATGTGTAAGAACCTCAGATTAACTCAAAATCAAAAGTAAATTCATCTGGGGTGTCTCTGCAGATTGTCTGTGTTGCCCCACGCAGTTTTTCACTGTTACCCTGGTTCTGAAATACAGCGTGCCTGCCTCGTACCATGCTCGCCTACACCCTGTAGGTCACCAATGAGGGCTGGCTGCCTGAAAAGCGAGCTAGATTGAGACTATGTTATGTTGTGATTGGGTTTTGTTGTTATTTTATTTCATTTTTTTTTTTACCATCAACGCAAAGTTTTCTGCTCTTATAAAGACATACTTTAATTATGGAAAACAAGGAATTTTAATATTTTCCTTCCATCATTTCTCAGCACATAAGCATCATATCAGAGTAGCTTTGGGTTCTATTGCATTACAACGTTCGATTTTAAAACTTGCAAATTGTATTGGTGATGTGGAATAAAATGGTAAAAACCATAAAAGTGTTGTGACTGTGATAAAAATCATAAAAAATGTTAGCTTGGGATGAGGATAGAATTTCCGGCAATTTCTAACATGGCCATAAACATTATTTCTGCATTTTGCACAGCACATTAATACAAAATGGCGCCCTCAGCATTGACTACTATAAAATGATTGTCAGTCAACTCTGAAAAGTGTAGAAGATCCTCTGTGTCCCACAGAATCAAATATTCAGCCACAATTTAATCCTTTAACATTTTATTTATTTTATGTAGGGAGGCATTCACACAACATGACACACACACACACACACACACACACACACAGAGGTCAGAAAACAGCTCTTTTCTTCCACCACGTTTGTCCTGGATATTGAACTCAGGTCATCAATCTTGGCAGCAGGCCCCTTTAGCCACTAGACTATCTCACTAGTCTCTGTGTAAGATTAGACAAGTTTATCCATCTTATTAGTATGCAAATATATTCTCATCTTAAGTAGTACAATAATAATGTATGTCAAAGAGTTGCTGTAAAATAATTTTTTTTCCTGACCTGCGTTAAATCATGATTAGATCTGTATACCTGTTTTATAGACCTGCATAAACATTTCTCAGGTAAAATGGAATCACGAGTGGGAAAAGTTTCTCTGTTCTATAACAATAGGGTAGGAAACAGTGGTTGCAAAAGGCTGGGGACTTAGAGCAGGTGGAGGATGATGAGGAATCACAAAGAGAGAAAAATCATGGCCTTAGAGGTTGACGCCTGCTTCTCTCTGGACACTAGCTTATCCTGGGTCTCCTGCAGCATCCGGAAGGCTGACAGTGGAGAGTTGAAATGTTTGCAGTACGCTGTGCTGCAGGGATCAACTGGCGACCCGAGAGTGCTGTTGAGTAGGGCACTAGTCAAGTGTGTCAAGAACGCTCTGCTGCTGTGTTCCTGTTTTGAGCAGTTTGCTCTCTTAGCACCCAGTGACCCTGGCCCCAAGGCTGCCAGTGCACCAGTAGCTCTGAAGACACGAGAGTGAGCCTTACTGTGTGCTTCCTGGGAAGCCGGATGGAGATATGTCATTCTTAGCCTTATTTCCAAAGGAAAGGGCCAAATCTATCCAGTTACACATCTTCCTAAAATGGATCTGGGATAGTGACTTATGCTGCTGAGTTAGGGTAGACATGACACTAAGGTTTTGAACATGGTCTTTCATTGAACTGCTTCTGTTTGCCTGCACCTTTAACAAAGTTCAATAAGGAATAAATGGTCAAAATGTGGTAAATTGGTCCAGATCGTAGAGTGGGCAGAGAGACTGAGCCAGATTCCTGTGTGATGACATAATTCCCTAATAACTTTGGCACAGCCTGTGACCTCCCCATCTCTATTTTTTCCTTACACCTTGGCGATGACCACATCATGCTTACCTCACAGCCATGTGTGGAGAGTTAATTAGTTTCAGATGGGAAAGTTCTCCAGGGATGAATCATACTGTATAGCGAATGTGCTAACTTGAGCCTTCAAGGCCTTTGTGTTGAGATAATCTCCTGCTGCCGAAGCCCAGGAGCTCAAGGGAAGATGGAAACTATTTACCTTGGAGTCAAGGGACTCAGCATTGCAAGGTGATCAAAAGGACACAGTTAACTGTTCGCTGACTGTTCGTCCTATACTGGTCAGCCATGAGACTTCTGAGGTAGGTGGAGGCTAGCTCTGAATTGCACGGCCAGTGCTCTCTGCCAGAGCAACTGTAGTCATTAGGAAAGACAGCTACCAGGAGCTGTAACAACACACACTAGGACTCATTTTTATCCACTGATGGCTGTGAGCTCAGTGTGGATTGCATGGGCTCCATCTCTGGCAGATCACACTAAACAGTAAGAGTCACTGGTCTGTGACCTCAGTCCTCTTACCTTCTGAATGCTTCCTGTAATAAATCTCACAATCCTATCTTTACATACTTTCAGTGAGGAGAATGTTCCTGTCCATTCACACTCCATTCACACAAAAGGAATAAGAAGAGTCCTTCTTTTGGTCTCTGTTGTATGTCTCCCTGTTTGTAAAATTACACACATAGTGTGCTTTGTTTTAAGCACAAAGTGGAAGGGGCTCTTATAGACATAAACAAAGAATACTCTATCTGCCAACAAGGAATTTTATGGTCCAGGAATTGGTATAGAATATGGATGAGATCTCACTGTGCATGGTTAGGTAACTTTTTTTTCTTTTTTAAAATTAGATGTCATTGAATGAAAGACGTAAAGACTAGAAGAGGAGGAGGAAGACTTGGGTAAGGAAGGTGAGTTCAAGTACACAAGGAAGTGAAGTAAAGGTATTTCCTTTACTTGGGCAAATGAGTCTCCTGAGGACATTGTCCGGGGGTGGAGTGGGAAGGCTTGGGATGTGGAAAGTGAAGGGGCATCAGAAGATGGGAAAGCATGCTTCTCAGCTTCTTGTTGTGGCAGAATACCACTTTTCAACTTCAAGGTGAAAGGATTTATTTTGTTTGGTGATTTTAGAGGTTCTAGTTCATGGCTAAGCAGATATGTTGTTTCTGCACCAGGTGAGGCAGAATATCATGGTGAGTAGCAGAGTTGCTGACCTCATGATAGCCAAAAAGCAAACAGACAAAACAAAACAAAAATAAAACAACAACAAACCAAAACAGTGCAGAAAGGAGGAAAAAAAGTGGACAGAGACAAGACAAACCCAAAGACAGCCCTCAAGGGTGCACTGTCTTCAAGAATGTCCCCCTTCCTCAGCTTCAGCACCTCCAAACTGTCCATCGAGGTGTGAGTCCATCAGTGGACTAAGCCAGTCGTGAGGGCAGAAACTTTGGGATCTGTCTTCCTCAAAGTCTGACCACTGAACATTATTATATTGGGGTCCCTCCTCACATGAACCTTTGGTGGACATTAAAGATCTGAACAGTAACAGGTAGGTTATTAATTTAAAGAGAGAGGATCTTAATTTAAGAGAGAGAAACCCAATGTCAAGTGAAAATTCAATGATTTTTTTTAAACAGAATGTTCTTAGGACAGAAACTATAGAGTAAAACATAGTTCAATTAATAGAGGTTTCAGTAGCCCATGGATTGTTTACATTCAAATAGACATGTTTCCATGCAGACATGTGTAACTACATACACATGTCTGGATATTGTAATTCATTGAGAGGGAACATCTTTGGATGTATGAAGCTTCTTGGGCTTCACTGCTGGATTAGTAAGCCTGTGTTCATTTTCTAAGGTCTTTTGTCTGATGTTGCTCACCTCTCTGTGCTTTTCTGTGATACACTTCGTGATGGTAGGCTTAGGAATCACTAAGTTTTGTTGAGGTTGCAATATTTGAATGAGCTTATAAAATATTCATCAACATTATCTATCTTCTAATACAGAACTCAGTGGTGTTTTCATTTTCTCACTGATTGATCTGCTGCATTATCCAGTTGTTGGTTCCTCATAACTCAAAGAATGTAACTGGTTCTCTTCTTTGCTGGTAACGAGACTTCGTGCACTATAGCAGCTTTCCAGTGGTCACTCTGCCACAGCAAAGAGTGGTGGCATCCAGAGTGGGTCTTTTCTGATGTCCAAGATTCAGTTGGAGTTCTGGAAGGAACCAGGTAGCATAATCAATTGGTGTTATTTAAGAAAGTTAACAAGGTGTGATTCACAAGGGCCACGAAGCCATCAGCAGAATACCAGACTCTAGACTTAGCAGCAGAAAAGAGTCATTTCCAACCTAACTTAGACCCAAAGGACAAGAGGAAAATGGTTACCAGCATCTAAGATGTGTTAAGTGTGGCATGACTCGGATAGACACTATGGGACATAGTGGAGGTAGTCACAAAAACAGATGCCCAGTCTGACTTTCTGATCACCTTGCTATCCATGAGTACTTGCTGTTGGCCAAACCAAACCTGAGCCACTGGAAAGGCATGCTTGCCTTTGCAGCACAGACTAGGGTGGAAAGAGATAGAGGGTGATGGATCTTGAGGGCCAGCCAAAGAGTAAGAGAGGTCATTTCCTCTTCTCAACACTGAGTCAGCTGGGGAACATCATGTTACTACATTGTATTTAAGGGAATGTATGCATTGAACCATGTACCAATGGGTTAGGCCCTGTTGGGTAAGTCTTTAGTTGCTGAAACTAGAGTCCTCATAGCATCCATGTGGGAAACTGATGGAATGAATGCTTGCTCCCTTAGATAAATAATCACAATGGAAATGAAAAGTCTGTTTGTAGAAAAGAAAAATAAAGTATTTTTAATTGGTAGTGCCTTGCCTGTAATGTCTAAATCTCTTAGAGACAGACCTTAAGCATATTTCCAAGCAAGGATTGTGACTTGCTCAGATCAGTTCTGAAGATAGTCCTGTGTGTGTGTGTGTGTGTGTATGTGTGTGTGTGTATGTGTGTGTACACACATACACAGGTGTTTAAATGCATGCATGTGGTAAAATGTCTTCCTCAATCACTCTCTATTACAGTTTTTGAGACAAGGTATCTCACTGAACCTCGAGCTCACTAGATGAATGTCTAGCAACCTCTAACAACCCTGTCTCTCTGTTTCTTTTCCATGTGCCATGGTTATAGATGCACACCACTGTACCCAACTTTTACCTGAGTGCTTATTTAGCAACATTACAGGCAAGGCACTACCAATTAAAAATACTCTATTTTTCTTTTCTACATTTTATGGGCTAACACAGGCATAAAGATTTTGTAAATGAGAAATATTTGAACTGAACCTACCAACCAGGTTGGAAAGTATGACACATTTAAAATATGAAATGGTATGTGACAGCCCAGAGTTTATGGCTTAAGGCAAATGATATAAGAACCTCTGAATGCTTGTTGTGTGACAAGCCTTTTTCTGGGGAGAGGCAACACATGTCTACTCACTCCAATAGGGAGTCTGTAACAGTATGAACACTCTTCAAATTCCAGCATGGTGAACCAATGAGTCTTATTGAGGTTACTTATAGGAATGTGGGTGCGGGATTACTTAAAGGTAGAGAAATGATTCAGACAAAACCATATCACCAAAGCCTGCCCCAGAATAGATGACAGCTCAAAAAGCTGGGAATCTGGAGCATGCTGCACATAGTGAAGGTAGCTTTTCAGGTGGAGAGTGTCCTTTCCAGGAATCTCAGACGGCCTAAACTGCTTTCAGATAGCTCATATGGTCCTGCTTCTTCAGCTTGGCTTGTCTGAGAGTAATTCTCAAGCAGTCTTTTTCACTCTTGGGAGGAAGGGGCCTAGTGAGACTGATCAGTTTCAGGGACTTCCGAAATCTATTTTGAATTGTTTACTTCCTGTCTAAAGGAGCTTCCCCAGGAGATGGAATGTTTCATTCCAAGGACACCTGGACATTGTTGTCCCATATGTTCTAGTTTTCAGAAGTTTTAAATTCTGCTTCCATATATGCTCAGATAATCATAGAATTTGAGAATTGAAAACATGTATATTGAGTTCGAGTCCTATCCCAACAGCTTCTGAGTAACAATTCTAATATTGGCCAGTTGGATAACTCACTGAGAAAGATAGTTCTCTACATTTAGCCTTCTAATTGACTTGATAAATTGACAGGATGACGACAGTTAATTTTTTATTTTTCTTTAATTCCCTAAAGTTTGCAAAAATGCATATGTGATATCTCTACTTTACTGATAGGAAAACTAAGACCCAAAGGAATTGAGTGAGAGGCAATAGAGGTGACAGAATTTCTGCCTAGGACTGGTGCCTCCAAAGGCTAATTTTTCCCTATTACACCAGGCAGCAACTTCACTTGACTTTACCCTTGTGGGACTGCGAACCATGTTACCAGCCATTAAATATCGTTTTTCATGTTGCAATTAAAACGCTATTTAATGTACATAATTTTTCAGTTTCTTCTGGGAATATAAAGTTATGCACATATATATCTTTATATATGTACATTTCCTTCTGCTCCGAGTAGTAATAGTGACAATTTATAGTGCAAGTGACACACTGTAACTTTGCTATATATGCAAGATACAGAATTTTTTCCTTAGGACTGCTTTTATAAGCTTGCCAGCTTCCAGAGAGTTCTTTGAATAATCTTTTCTGGATTTTGTGACTATGCAAAAGTCAGCACAATATTCTTTTGCCAGAGCATGCAGTTTATTGTTGGTTTTTAAATGCCCTCCCACTGCAGAAGATCTACAGACTTGTCCCTTGCTTGTACAGTATATTTGCAGGTGGAGAATTAAGAATGAAGTTGAGCTCATAGGGGCTTTGTAAATAATGGCTAGTGACATAAAACCCCAGGACGGTGTGTAGTACCAGTTGGGCTCCTACTAGTCTCCCCATCGACAACTGTGGGTGCTGTAACCAGTGAGATTATTGGTGCCCTGGTTGCTTCATTTGTCAACGTGACACAAGCCAGGATCAACTGAAAAAAAATGCCTCTATCAGGTTAGCCTGTAGACAAGCCTGTGGAGCATTTTCTGGATTAATGATTGATGTGGCATACTCCAGCCCACCGTGAGTGGATGCCACCCCTGGGCAGGTGGTCCTGGGTATAAAAAAGCAGTTGAACAAGACATTCCTCTGCTTCAGTTCCTGCCTTGCTTCAGTTCCTGACTTGGCTTCCCTCAGTGATGGACTATTACCTGGAAGTTTAAGATGTAATAAACCCTTTCCTCCCCGAGTTGTTTATGTTCATGGTGTTTATCACAGCAACAGAAAAGTAAACTAATTTACTTTTCTAAAAAATTGGCTCATTGGTAATTCACTCTCTTAATCAGAGTCATAGGTATGCATTTACAGCCTGGTTTAAGCAATCAAGTAACTCCATAAAATACATGTATACATTAACTCTCTCTCCCTCTCTCTCTCTCTCTCTCTCTCTCTCTCTCTCTCTCTCTCTCCCTCTCCCTCTCCCTCTCCCTCTCCCTCTCCCTCTCCCTCTC